GGCTCACCAATGAAGAAAGTGACAGAGTGAGACTCTTTACGGTGGTGCGGTTTCAGATATTTCATCGCCTTTCTGCGATTTTCTCCAGCGAAGTGCTTGATGAACCATTCCTCAACTTCGTCTGATAGATTTATCACCTGTCATGTCCCCAAAACAATAATGAAAAATTTGGTATTTTTTCATGTTACAAATGTATAATAAAGTGATTAGACAAGAGCGTGGGTGTCGATTTTCCGCTTGCACATACATGAAAAACAAAAATCTAAAAGTAGATTTTCTAGTTACCTTGTCTGAACTGTTGAAGTAAGAACTTTCCACCACTTTGAGATATATTGGAAGGATTTGTTTTCCAGTTACCTGAACATAAAAAGGGTTGGTCTTAAAATCGAATCGGAAAACGATAGACTCTATAAACTCTAGTTGAAAATTGCGTACCTTATCGAATTTTTTGAGAATGTTCATGAAGGCTAACATGTTCAAGTTTCTGTAAGTTTTGAGATAATTTAACCCTTTGTAGAGTTCTGTTAAAGCTCCTTTTATCATCTTCTCGGCGTGACTTAGTTTTTTCTTGCTGATTCGGAGCTGATTTCCTCCATCTGGACCACATTTCTTCGATGAAGTTTGGTTTATCAAATCTTCTTTGATTAAGTAACTGATAGCTGAGAATGTACGAGAAGGATTGGTCAATGGAATCTTTATCTTGACATTCTTCCCCTGACAGCTGAAAACCCGACCAGAAACCGTCCTTAGTTTCGAGTCCTCGTTGTTGGTTTTGATCGGTTCTTCTGATCTCGGAGATTCCAATGCTTCTGCTTCATTGTTCTCCAAATCCTCTAAGCAAGATTCCTGAAGTTGCATTTGTTCTGTTCTGCTCCTAACAGAGTCTTCCTCTGTATCCAAAAACAGAGCAAACTAAGTAAACAAATTCTTTAAAAATCCAAGCTTTTTTCATGGAAAAATGAGTAACTTTTTTAAAGGGCTACTTAAAAATGCAAGCTTTTGTATGAGTTTTTTTAATAAAAAAATATATCTTCTTATTACCGCATGAGATGGTGCATGATATGGAATCGTCTTCTTTTGATTCTTGAGTAGACTCTCCATTGGCTTCCTTTTGTTTGAAAGCATCTTTGAGCTCAATGAGTATCTCCATTTGCTTCTTCAAGCACTCTCCTCTCTCCAAGAACTCTTTCTCCTTTGTCTTGTAGAACTGATTCACTTTGTTAAGCTGTGTGTCGAGACACGCGAAGAACTCTTTCGCAGCATCCGTATCATCAGCAATCTTCTCCAGAAGTTCCGTCTCATACACGTCACTGTTACTTACAGAAGAAGCAAGCTTTGTATGTACCTGTTCAAAAAGCATCAAAATCATTAACAAAACCCATGAATAGTTGATAAAAAAACCGCAAAAACTCAAGGGTAAGTTTAGTACTTGGATAGCGCGTCGTTCCCTCTCCTTGTTGCCGAAACGGGAAAGCTTTCCTAAAGAGGACTTAATGGTTTTGATGAGAGAAGTTTCTGTGTGCTTCTTCTCAACTCCATTGGTAAACAAATGGATTTTCTTGAGGTCTTTCTTGAGCTGAGAGTAATCGACGAAAGCATCTTTCCATTCGGGCACAAGCTGCCCCTCGAATTGCTTTGTGAACTTCACCATAGTTTTTTTCCTCTCTTAAGTCCTTAAAACTCAAAAACTCAAAAGAAGAAGAAGAGAGTGTGTTTGTTTTGTGAGTGTAGGGCAAGAGAGGAAGATGAGATTTGTTTTATAATGGACAAAAGAAAAAGGCAGAGAAAGAGAAGAATATATTTGACTGGGCTTGCTTGCTTCTACTGATGATGCCTCACAAAGCACATTCTCAAAGATCCTTCATGTAACCAAATTTCATGTACTAAATTTTATCCTATGCTTCTTCCACTTGTGCTTTAAGAGGAAGTAAATCTTGTCTCGTGCGGGACCCGCTGATTCTCGCCGGTCTATATGGTCACCCGATCCTCCTCTCGCCGCCGAGCTTCATATACCTCTTTTATCACTCAAAATGTTTCATCTAGGAGTGAAGCTTTTAAAATGAAGTGCAGTATATGAACGGTAGGGGTAATTTGGGTATTGTGAATGAGATAACCAAAAATAGTAAGTAAATATTGTAATTTTGTAATATTTTGTGTGGAAAAAAGGAGATAGCTGAAATGGACCAAAAGAAATTAGGTGCCGAGAGACACAAAAGGTGAATTCGGATTGGACCAGCTCGATTTCCACTATATTTTTTCGGATGGTAATGAGATTTTGAAAACATATAAATCTTAAAGAATCAGAAAAAGAAGAATAAAGAACTACCAATCAAATTCTGATTTCATAGTTTCATATTACAATTGCAGATAGTGCCAAAACATATTATAGCAGTCTCAAGTAGTGTAAGTTCTCACCAATAAGAACATGGACTGAAGTTCTTTAAAATCCACTTCCAGATATACAAGATGATACAATGCAATTGAAAAAGTGCATATAGTAATCATTTTCATATCAAGATTTTAATGTCTGCCGCAAGTTGTTAAGTGGCAACGATATCTCCAAGCAATAATTTGAATTGTGATTCCAGAAACCGAATTTTATCAAAAATTATTTATAACCGGAAATTGCAAAAGAAAAAAAAAAGGTTTTCTAATTATAAGTTCATTAAAACAATCTAATGAATTTTGAGATGTTATTTATCGTGGGCATGAACTAGTTAGATCTCCCAAACCTAATTTAAAACAATGTCAAACCCTCTGTGATTACTTTTCTCTACTTTTTGGATCGGTATAAAAATGCAAGAACATGCATGTCGTTTAGCTAAGTGTGAATTAAAACGACAGTGTTTGTTTTTTATTTGCGGTTTAACATTGTTATTATCCTTTTAAAAAATGTTGGGTACGTTAGAATTTGTTAATTTTTTTTTTCAGCCGATAGG